CAGGATGAGACTTGGCTGTCCCAAATGATGGCTTAACCTTTACATCAAAGGCTTCCTTAGGATGTATTTAAATAGCTGGAATCCCTGCTTCCTACTCCCCAGTTACATATAAATTGGACCTTCCTGGTTAAGTGAAATCTTGTTCTGATTATTTCCTGCTCAATCCTGCTCGGGGAGTAATTTCTGGCCTAGGGTTTATAGAGTTGGCTGAACACAACACCTGTTAGTGAACTGGTGAGATTGACAGCAGTTTATAAACATACTTAACAGCCCAAAAAGGGGGAACACTGCATACCGTGCATGGGTGTCGCACTTGGGAACAGAGTGCACAAGCAGGGACCGTGGGAGGTCAAGTTGGCATAGCAGGGAGGGTAGAGCGATCCTTGCGTTCTGAGGGAGCCTATGAGTGGCTTGTCTGAATAGTTCCTCTGAGCAGCAGGGAACTGCAGCTTGCTACTCAGGGATAAGCAGGAACTGTGTCTGTTCTTGCTGATAAAAAGGATTGCTTGGCTGGGGGACCTTATCTGCAGAAGCAAGGCTTGTACAGCGTTTGGAGTTAGGCCTGTTGAGATACGTAATAATAATACTGGCTCTTAATGTTCTGCCTTCTGCCTCTAGTCTCAGTGCCACCAACCCTTTATCAGAGCTGTTTGCTGCTGATGTAAAAACAGAGCAGAACATTTCTGTAGCATAATTTGAGGATCTTCCTTTCTGTATGACCTTCTGATAATTTGCAGAGGTTAAAATGTCCTGCTGCTGTGCACTTTGGCTGTAGGAGAGGCCTCACAAAGCTCATGGAAACATTTGTGTTATCTTTCATTTTCCCATGATCTTTTGGGAAAGATCATTATTATATATGGATAGAGGCAGGAAAGACAAGATAAACTGGAATAGTATGACTAATACGTTAAATAATATGCAATGAGAAAAAATGGATATATTGTAAATGCTCATGATGGAAAGAATAAAACGGTGACGGCAATTATTTGAGTGCTTTCTCTGTATGGACACTTTTCTTAAGAGTATTTCTAAGAGTACTGCAGATGAGGAAACAGTGTATAGTTCATTTAACATCAGATGGACAGTGTGTGGTTGTAGTCTGAGGCTGTGAAATCTTGTTTGAAAAGAGTTACAGATGGAGAAGAAACAGTTATTTTCTATCTGCTGCCTCACTCACCAAATGGCTGCAAAGGCTGAGGCTGGGCTAGGGTGAAAGCAGGAACCCAAAACTTTCTTTGGGTCTCCTTGGTTGTTGTAGAGGCCCTTCGCTGCTCTCCCGCACACATAAACTGTGAGCTGGATTGGAAGTGGAGCAGCTGTGTCTGGAACTGGCACCCATGTGGGATTGCCAGCATCACAGGTGACAGCTTAGTGTGCTGTGCCACTATGCCAGCCCCCACTGATGTTAAATAGGGAGGAAACACAGAATCTCCATCAAGATGACATCAGCCTGGTGCAGGGTGGAAATGAATCTGAGCAAGAATCTGGTGCTCGCTGACCAGGGGAGAGAAGAGTGGGCGATTTCAAGGTGGTGTCGGTGATTTTACTCAGAACAGAAGGGAGCAAGCGTATTTGGATGGACATGATAGACATCTGAGACATGGCATCTTGATGCGGTTTCTATATGTTATAGTTAGAAAGTGTTGCTTGGTTTTGAGAGAGGTTCTGACAGGTGTTGTGTGGATTTGAGAGGCTATTGTGTGTCGATAATTATTGAAATTGATGAGATTGCCTACATGTCTCTGGATTCTAACCTGTGTGAATCATGACAGACTGTGCAGTACTGGGAAACAGCTATGTGAAAAGCCCTGGCTTTTTTTTTTTTTTTTAAATTTATTTTTATTATTTTTTCATTGGAAAGGCGGATATACAGAGAGGAGAGACAGAGAGGAAGATCTTCCGTCCCATGATTCACTCCCCAAGTGAGCGCAATGGGCCGATACTATGCCGATCCGAAGCCAGGAGCCTCTTCCGGGTCTCCCACGCGGGTGCAGGTTCCCAAAGCTTTGAAGCCCTGGCTTTTTTTAAAGAATTGTTTTTGTTGGAAAGTCAGATATATAGAAAGGAGAAGAGTAAGAGAGGAAGATCTTCCATCCATTGATTCACTCCGCAAGTGGCCATAACGGCCAGAGCTGAGCCGATCCGAAACCAGGAGCCAGAAGTTTCTTCTGGGTCTGCTATGTGGGTGCAGGGTCCCAAGGCTTTGGGCCATCCTTGACTGCTTTCCCAGACCACAAGCAGGGAGCTGGATGGGAAGCAGGGCTGCCAGAATTAGAACCGGTGCCCATGTGGGATCCTGGTACGTGCAGGGTGAGGACTTCAGCTACTAGGCTACTGTGTTGGGCCCAAAGCCCTGGATTTTATCTGAAAGCTATTCAAATCCCTATTCCGGAGCTCTCCTTTGCACAAATTAAGAGTAATAATAGCTATCTCAGAATAATTGTATGTAATGCTTTATCTAGCAGAGCCAAGTTTTAAAAGGCTAGGAAATAATTACATATTGACTGTGTTGAACCTTTAGAAAATGGAGGTTTACAAAAACAAACAAAACAACCAGGGTTCAGAGTTGTGGCATAGCAAGTTAAGATGCTGCTTGCAAAGCCAACATCCCATAGCAGCGCCAGTTTGTATCCTGACTGTTCCACTTTATGTCCAGCTTTCTGCTAATGTGACTGGGAAAGCAGCAGAAGGTGATCCTAATTCTGGAGTACCTGCACCCTGTGGGAGACCTGGAGGAAACACCATGCTCCTGGCTTTGCCCTGCCTCTGCCTTGGCATTGCAGCCGTCTGAGGAGTGACCCAGCAGACGGAAGACCTCCATCTCTATCTCTCCTCTCAGTCTGTAACTCTGCCTTTCAAATAAATAAAAAAATAGAAACATGACTGCAGAATATTTGCTTTGATTTAAATAAAACTCCCAGTGGTAACCACATGTGTAATCCTGCAGCTAGGAGTGGCTTCCCTCCTGTGCTGCTGTCAGCGGGGTGTGAGGTGAGCGGGGACGAGTGGAGGCGGTGTGTGGCTAGCCAATGCAAACAACAGAAATGCGTGAACGCAAAGGAGGTGCCACCTTTGTAACACTGCAAGGCGTGAAGAAGCCAACACTTAATGTGATGTGAAAATGTACGTATCCCAGAGCTATTTTTAGGAATTCTGAAACAAAAGTAATACACATGCACTTCCTCCAGAGGACTGCGATCAGTAGGAACTGATAGTATTGATTATCTGGGGCACGGAGCTGATCAGCAATGGGGACAGTCCCAGGGACTGCCTTACCCTGCACTGCAGCTGTGCTGCAGCCCACGTGTGTGTGGTGTTGCATGTAAGCTGTGTGAAAATTAGCAGTGCACACTCAGTCGTATTAGTGATTATTCTTGGACTGCTCAGCATTTCCCTGACCATTCCAACTAGAGGGGAGTTTATTCTTGCTTGCAGATATACAGAGGAGGAGAGACAGGAAGATCCTCCGTCCGATGATTCACTCCCCAAGTGGCCACAAGCGCCAATTGGAAGCCAGGATCCCAGATCCTCTTCCGGTCTCCCACGTGGATGCAGGGTTCCAAGGCTTTGGGCATCCTCGACTGCTTTCCCAGGCCACAAGCAGGAAGTTGGATGGGAAGTGGAGCTGCTGGAATTAGAACCTGTGCCCTTATGAGATCCCAGTGCGTTCAAGGCAAGGACTTTGGCTGCTAGACCATCGCGCTGAGCCTCCCACTAACTCTTGACATTAGAGTTTAACCTGCTTGGGTTTGTGGACCAAATGTTCAAAACGTAAATAATTGATTAGCTTTTTTAAACCACCTTCAACTTTTTGATGTGATTGTGGTGAGGTATGCTGCCAGCTTTAACACAGAGCAATAGAGCACCCACCTAGCCATCCTTTCCAAACAAAACCAAGGCTTACCCACGCCACTCCTCCTACACACAGAGTTAAAGCTTCAAAATGCCAAGAAGTGGTAGCTCTTGCTTCTGACTCCAATCTGACAGGAATTGACTTTGAATAATGACATTTAGAAGATCCTGGGTAACAAAAAAGATTTAGTTGTGGGCCTGCAATGTCTAGTAAATTTCACTGTGCTCTTCAGAACAGCTGTAATTCCAAAGGATAAATGGAGTATACAGCCCCATGTGTGTGGGAGAAACTTTGAGAAAATGTGTTTTTAATTATTTTCAGAAATTCTTTCTACTCCTGGGACCTCTTGTATGACCTCCCCCCCTTAGGATTTGGAAATGGGCTAGAATAAATAAACTTAAAAATTAAAAAAGGACTGTTTAGCCCATGGCAATATAGAGAAAATACCTACAAGATTGGACATTATTATCTACTTAAGAAGAGAGTAAAGTCCTTGCTGTGACAGGTATACTTTTATTTTCTATGGAAAACCCAGAAGTCGAATTCTTAACGTTAGAAACGTTAGAATGAGCGGTTTCAGAGTCTTTCAGGCAGAGCTGGTGCGCTGCGGTTTGTGTTCTGGGGTTTTGGCCCCTTCGTTCTTCTGATGGGAAAGTCTGTGTTGTGGGAGTCCAGTTATTTGTACACGTAGTGCAAATGTATGCAAGGATCAAATAAGTTCTTGGAAAGAAGATACCAATCATTTTTGTTTCTTAGCGAAATCTCAGAACTAAAATTTTAGATGTTATGTGCCTCTTGGAAACAACTAACAAGTTTAGAGCTCAGCACTAGTTAATTGCATTCCTCAATGGGCTCATGTTTACTGCTTACTGTCAGGATTTTGCCACACAAAAAAGCTGTGAAAATGTTTATCTGTGGCAAGTTTGACTCCCTAGCTGCCTCCAGTATCTGTTGTTATCTGTAATTGTTCTGTGACTTGTGTGATTATATTAAATGATTCAAATAATGATTAGGGTGTTTAAAGAAATGCAACATCTCTAAATTTTCAAGCGGTTTTCTGTGAAACTTTGAAACAATACAATTTCACATTTTGTTGTTTTAACAGAGGGCTATGCTGTGGATATTTATATTTTCATTTTTATTTCAGGTGCGTATAGCAGCAAAATTCATCATCCATGCCCCTCCTGGAGAATTTAATGAGGTTTTTAATGGTGAGTATTTTATTTACAACGCTGTTTATTCATTTTTTTCCAATCTCTTTTTCTTCTAGTATCTGGGGAAAAAGGGGAAAGAAGGGTAGTGAGCCACTCTCAGCAGCCCAAGCACATCTGTACCTAGGAGTGGGGGATAGCTACCCAGTGTAACCCCAGGGTCCCCAGTATGAAGCATATTCTGAGGGTACTGCTCAGGTGGTTTTGGTAGTTCTGAGATGCTGTTGAGAACTAGTGGATGCTAGAGGCTAACCCAGTCTGGGACACCCCAGGCCCAGTCTACACCCATGTCGAGAGATACTGTAATCACATCCAGCATAGTTCACCTCCTTTATCCCAGCTGTTGCGCTTACCAGTCCGGGCATGCCCTTAGCTTACCAACCAGGCCTGCTCCCAGCCACAGATCTTGTGCCTCCTGCTGGTGGCTGTGACCCAGTCCTGCATAACCCTTCACTTAGCTTGGCCTTTGCCTTCGGATACTGCAGCCTAGCCTTGCCTAATCTGTCCCCATCTCCCTCCCCACGCACCCCCACTCCACGAGCCAAGCCACACATCTGCCAACAAGTGAAGCAGCCCTGCCCAGCCTGACCACACCCGACCAGTTCGCATGCTCACCAGTGGGATCTGTGACCCACCAGGGAAGTTCCCCAAGTCCCCTCACCCACTCCCAGATCTAAATCTCATGTGGCTGTTAGTGAGTGTTAGGCCCTTAGCCAGCAGTCCACAGCCTTCCATGCCCACGAATGCAGATCCCCAAGCCCAGTCCTCTGGTTGTGTGTCCTGCCCAGAGCCCACACATGCTCAGGCACAGGTCCTCAGACCCCGTCTGCTGGGGTGCTGGTGTCTGTGCCCACATATCTTAAAAAAAAAAAGGGGGAGGTGGAGAAAAGAATGGGCAACTGTGCTTGTATACTGCTATGGTTAACACGAGTTTGGCATTAACCAGGCCGGAATGCCTGCCCGGTGTTGGCTGCTTTTCTCCCAGTGTCTGACACTTGCCTAGCTACGATGTAATGAACTGAAGGAGGTGCTAAGCAGTTGCCTTCATTTGGGATCTTTTCATTGTTTTAATGAAAATTATTTTACCAAAGATACACAAGAAAACTGTATAATTTTTTTCCTTAATTACAATGAAAATTTGTTACCAATCTGTATTACATAATGGCTAGAATCCTGTGCTTGCCAGTACATGCAGCAGACTAGTTCGCTGTGTACCACATCCCATTCAGCTCTCATACATGTCATTGGGCGTTGAAGCGTAGTTCAACCTAACCAGCTCCACTATCCAGCCCACACACATGCTGCTGGTACCTTTATGTCTAGCCACCCTGCCCCTGTCCTGGTTTTCGTGCCCTTCCGTGGGAGTGGTGACCCAACAGGGAGATGCCCACTATTTCCCTTCTAGGCCACTCTCCTCCCAGATTATGCACTCTCCAGGTGGTTCTGCAGTTTAGCATGACAGAATTAGCTCCCAGTGCTAGCTTCTGCCAGCTGATGCTGTGGCAAAGCCCAGCCCACCCTCACCCACTCTAATTTTGTTTGCACCAGTAGGAATAATCCGCCCGGCCTGGCTTTTCCCTGACCTAGTCCACATGAGGCGCACAGGTGTTGTAGCCCTGCCTACTCTGGTCTGCCCCCATCCCAGCTCACACTCTCCAGTGGGAGTAGCTGTCCAGCAGGGGAGCCCCCCATATTCTCCCTGCTGGCTGATATTCTCCCTGCCGGCTCTGCCCCCTCCCTCCCTGGTTCTCAGGTGTGCTGGTTGGGTGCTGTGGCCACATCCAGTACAGGTAACCTCACCTTGGCAAGCCATAATGTGCACTGGTTTTTCTCATGACTGAACCTGACTCGACCCGCACTTTGTTCTGGTGCTCGGATTCACCAGTGGGTGATGTGAACTGGTTCAGCCTGGTCTGCCCCCTACCCATGCCAAATGTGTGCCAGTGGGAAACTTTCCATGGCCTGTTCTGGGCTGTTTCCTGTCATGCTTGTTGTGCTTACCTGCAGGGTCTGTGTCCTGCCATAGGAGTTACCCAGGCTCCTCCATCAGAATCTCTCCCAATGCCAGATTTTGATGAAACATTTTACAAGTGCTTTTATTTAAACACTATTGGCAGATTTTTAAAAATAATTATTTGTTTCTAGAACAGAAGTTTAAATCTCTCTATAGTATCCTCATTGCTGTAAAACCTGTAAAAATAGCTACTCTTCAGGAGTAAGGATGGTGGCTAAACTAGTCACCAAGAAAATGGCCTAAACTTATTCCTTTATGCAGTTCACACAGCTAGAAAAACAAATTGCTGTAAGTACTATAAATCTGGTGTTCCTACTTCATATATATTTGACCTTCACCATGTCTTAAATTAAATTTATACAGCACTGTTTATGTTTTAAAAAATGCTTGGGTTTTCAAAACAACTAGTGTTAATTTTGAGGTCATATTTTCAGTGATTAATAGCCAAGTGTCTACATAAGAATTAAATCTAAAATTAGGACAGAAGTAAACCAAGGTAAAATCATCAAATCAGGTACAATTTCTTTGTTGCTAAATGTGAGCTGTCTAGGACCTGTTTCTGAACTCTGATCTCAACTCTTTCCTGGAGAGCCGAATCATTTGAAGCCAGTGATTGTACTGTCAAACAATTAAGGCCTAGTCCTAAGTTTTTCTGGATGTCTTTTATTATTTTTTGCAGCTTCTCTCAACTTCAGTTCATTGAAGATATATTGTCCTCTGTCAGTGTTCACTTAAGAATATGAAGTGACATGTTTTCTGTTTAGTTTTCTCTCCTAAGCAAAATCTTCAACATACTATTCTATGGGTTTGTGATAATTTTGCTTATACAAAAATTGGAACATAATACAGAAAAACACAACCTTTGTTTTGCAGATGTTCGGTTACTGCTTAATAATGATAATCTTCTCAGGGAAGGAGCAGCACAGTAAGTACTTGCATGTTACCGTAACCGAAATGCCGTCAGCTTGCAGCCAGCTGACAAACTATAGGGGAGATCAGAGTCAAAAAATAAGTTTATTTTGATGCAAAAACTTTTGAAATCCATGCATCATTTTTATGTCAAATCCTGACTAATGTGGAAATGTTCTCTCTTTGATACATATTACATTTATTGTTAACCCTAACAAAGATCCAGGTATAACATTATCTAGATATACCTGATTTTTCTTCTGATAAAAATTTGTGTATTTTTTCATTTTTATTTATTTATTTATTTATTTTACTTTGTATTGGGAAAATACCCACAGTGCAAGTTGCCATTTTAACCATGAAATGTACATTTGTGGCATCAAGTACATTGCTGTTTTTGTGTAACCATAGCTACCGTATATTTGTTTTTTTCAATCTGACACCTGCTAGTTAATATCCTAATGGAGCTTAACTGATTTGAAGCCAGGAACCTGGATCATCTTCTGGGTCTCCCATGTGGGTGTAGGGTGCCAAGCACATGGGCATCTTCCATTAATTTCTAAGGCCACAGGCAGAGCTAGATGGGAAGTGGAGCAGCAGGGACACAAGCTGATGCCCATATGGGATCCTGATGCTTGGAGATAAAGCATTAGCCAATGGAGCCCTCACGCTGGGCACTACTACTTACTCTAAGTTCTGTAATGTGTATGGGAGTTTTTTGTGTATTCAGATAAAATTAACTTTGTAGTTTATAGTAGGTTGACATAAAGAAGTTCTCAACTATGAAAACAAGTTATCAACTTTTAGGAATAATACTTTTAAGTAAACTCTTTCTGAGTACACAGTTTTAATAAATATTAGGTTTCGTGTAGATGTGAAAGTGGATTTTTCTTTTTAGTTTAAAAGACTTGAGTTGTCTTTCTTTTCAGAAATAGTTTAATGGAAATCAGAAATACAGTTATATAATATGAAATAGTTACACATTTGGTTCAGTAGATGAAAGTACTACAGTTTTATTTGTCCACAAAAACATTTATATATCAATAATCATTAAATCATAGGTAAGAAAGATTAAGTTGGGGTTGTTCTAAAAGAAATTTGAATATAGGTTATATTTTTCTTTTATTACAAACCAAATTTCTAATGATCTACACGGCAAGATAGGTACACTAACATAGGAAGTACATGACATTCTGATTTGGTTGTAAAATGAGTGTTTGAGGAAATCTGTGACTTTTATAAGATAGTGTATTTATAGCAGAACCCCAAAAAAGAATTAATTGAAAAACCTGCATGAGAAAAATTCTATATTTTCTTACATATGGTAATACTCTCAGAAAATGTTTGTTGACTAAATGACCTAGTAGAGAAAATTAGGATGATTTTGTTGATTGTAGTAGCAGTCTATATATACAACTCGAGACTATTCATGCTAATTCATTTTTTATATACCTGTGAGTAGAAATATCCTGGAAATCAGTAATTGATTTTGGTGAGGTTTTTCAGGTTTGCTGCATTCTTTCTGCCACATAATTTCACCCTTTCTTGGTTCTGCATTACTTTAAAATGTCCAAACTGGGATTTACCCTCAAAAGAAGATACGTTGTTTTTTGTTTGTTTGTTTGTTTGTTTGAACCTAAAATGCCAGTTGTCTATAGCTACATAAGCTTAAAATGCAGCATTTAGGAGTGTCCCAGTGGCAGTTTCATTGTCCTGTATAGGCCATAGCGCTGTGTCAGTTCTTTTCGTTGCATTTTTTGATATTGAATTTCTTTAATACATCTCCTCTCCACAAATGTATACCTTTCCTCCTTTTTTCTACATTTGTCATGCTGCTTTATTTCATGTAACCTTTTTTGCTTCTTGTCCTCTTTGTAAGGGGGAAAATGACATGACATACTTTTTAGCTTTTTCAATGGAACATCTTTACTAAAGGGCACAAACTCAGTAAGCTTCAAAGTAAAATAGATATACTGAAGATTGGTCCTGTTAAGTCCAGCACACTTTCACAAATCCAGAAATAGCCTTGTATGGGCATTCAAGTGCCTGGCTTCATCATGATGAGACTCCCAAGATTTTCCAATAGCATGATATACATTTAATATCAGGCCAAATGACATTATATGTAACAACAGAAGCATATCAAAAACCTTTTGAGTGTAAAGGAACTAATTGAAGATTTTGATTTAGAGGTGGATTTGTAGCTCTTACACAGTGAGCACATATTTGTCAGTAAACTCAGGAAAAAAACATGGTAGGAAGAACAAGCTGTGATTTTGTTGAATGATTTATGCTAAAGGATGTGAAATCTAAATATGAGAACAGATGTCTTAAAAATGGATGGTTGGACCATAGAATTCCACAAACAGAAATCCTTCCCACTGTGTTGAGTAGAGTGCACAGCACATAGTGCAAGACCTCAGGAAATATTTGCATGGGTGCCAGTGTTGTGACATAGAGGATAGAAATGACACCTGCATCCCACATGAGCCCTGGTTCACAGCCCGGCTGTTCCACTTGCAGTCGAACACCCTGCTAATGGCCTGAGAAAAGCAGCCAGAAGAGGCCCAAGTGTTTAGGCTCCTATCACCCATAAAAAAGGCCTGACTGAAGCTCCTGGATTCTGTGTGCTGCAGCCGTGGTGTTGTGGCATTCTCTGGAGTAAACCAGCAGATCAGAATCGCTCTGTCTCTCGCACACTCTGTAAATTTGACTTTCATATAAATACATAAATATTTAAAAAGAGTAAGCCTCTGACCTCTTCTTACCTTAGAAACAATCTGCATGGATGGAAGAGTGGGTATTTGGAGGTTAGTCCCATTCCCACTATCTGTGTAATTGTCACCATTTACTGTTGATGATCAGTTCAAATACATTTTGTATTCATTTCCTCCTTCACATATTTTTTATTCTTTCTCCGTCCCCTCCCCCTCAACTCACAGTAGAATGGGGTTAGATAATGTAGGCATTAAAAAAAAACTTTTGAGGCCATCCTGGGAGAAAATTGCTATTATTATTTAAATATAGCACTACTGGGAAATGAATCTTGAATTCCAGCTAAGTTACTTACAGACAAGGTTTAAGGTAAATCATTTCAGGGTTGGTACATGCCTGACTGTGTTGGCTATTTGGACAGTTGCGTTCTCATGAATTCAAAACAGAATTGAACAGCTATTGTTTCACACCCTTCCCTTCCATGTACATTAATATCCACCCTCATCTTTTTTTGAACATGCAGTGTCAGGAATTTGACAGCTAGAATTTCATTTGCTTTGCTATTTTTGCATTTAGTAGTGTGCTGTTGACTCGTCAATCTGCTTTTCTCAACTAAATGATCCTTGCTATAGGAGACTCAGGTCATCCAGAGTAATCTGAAGTTTCCATATTGATTTCTAAATCTAAATCCATTGTTAGATTTTTAAATTTAAAAATTCTCAGTATCTTTTCTGTTAAATGTGAGTAATTTCTCATATTACAGATGCAATAAAATACATTATTATCTTTATACAGCTTTTAGATAATTTTCTTGCTTAGTTTTTGCACATATGTATCATATAATTACCTAATAATGCATTATTCATTAGACTTGTAAAAGAGAGAGACTCTTCTTGATTCCATATCAGCACTATTTGCTGGCTCAGACTCTGCAGTTCTAACTTGGATATTTCCAACAGCCTAATTGCTTTTTTTAGCTCTTGTTGCTCTATTACCCAATTTGTCATACATAACACTGCCAAAATAATGTTCTTTAGAAGCACTTCCATGTTGTCCTTTCTCAACAAGCTTCTGTGCCTCTGTGGTGTCTCCCGAATAATGTGATTGTCCTAGCATTCGAGACCTGCCAGCTGAAGACCTGCTGTATACAGATGTTGAGTGTGGTGCTGTCTGAATGCTCTGCTCATAGTGTTACTTATGCTTAAAATGCTCTTTACTTGCTCTCTGATTTCTTCAAGACCAGAGCCTACTCAGTTTTTCAAGTCCATTTTCTCAGTATCACATCCAGTATAAAACTAATATTTCCCCAGTTCTGCTATCTTCTTACCCTTACCGTAAGAGAATTTTTTTTTTTAAATCTTTATAATGCTATGTTGGTATTTCTTGTATGGTAGTTTCTGCTTTGTGGTTTGTTTTTGCATTATCACTCCTTCTCAGCAGGAAGCCCTTTTTTTTTTTAAAGTTTGTGTGATGACTTTTTGCATCTTTTACAACATCTACCCTTTTTTTGGTTTACTAAATATGAGAGAATCTCTGAAAGTTCATAGAGCAGAATTTCTCGATGATGTGAATTATCCATGAATTCTTTGAAGGCCCCTTAAATATATTTGAAAAATTAGGTATATACAGTATAGATGTTCATCGTTTAGTTTTACAGTCTTAAATGAAAAGATCAAGTGTGTTTGCTGATTTAATTTTGCTTTGATAAGCATTGGAAGCTGGATCTTATTAATCACTTTAAAAATGGCCACATTTATCTCGTATTTATAGTTGATATAAGATCAATAATAGACAATTATAATGTTATTTATCTTGCCATAAACAGTTCAGGATGAAATTTTGATTGACCAGTAAATTATTTGGCTGCCATTCTTTTTCTTTACAAAATATTAGAGAAATAATTTTAAGTAATTGACCTTTTTCTTTTTCAGTGCATTTGCACAATATAACTTGGACCAGTTTACTCCAGTAAAAATTGAAGGTTATGATGATCAGGTATGTTTTATATAAACACAACCTGGCTGGTGGTTTTTCTTTTGTCGTGGTAAAAGTATCCTGCAAGAATTGGGAAGTGAATGCTTAAAGAAGGAACAGTTATTGATCATATTTGCCCACTGACAAAGTCAATGAAATTACTTTCTTTTATTTATTAAGTCGAATAATGCTGTTAGCAGACACGTCCCTTTTAGAAATTCTCAGGTGTAATTCATTTATGATTATAGAAAATAATTGCTTTAAATAACTTTCTTGTTTTTTATAGGGAAAAAAATCAATTCTATATTAATCCAAAATCTAGAATATGTATTAGTAAGATTTATATCATAATTTGGTTGCTCTGGAATTCTGCAGTTCTTCATGTGAGTAATATAGCATTTAGTAATTATTAAATTTTTTTCTTTCCAAAATGCAAGTTAGAATCGTTAAGCTAAAAGTCACAAAAGGTCACCCGGGGTTTTGTTTCCTTTTTGTTTGTTTGTTTAGTTACTAATAATTAATTCGTTATTATACTCACTCACATTGTGCTTGCATGAAGTACAGTTTATATAAAACATTAGGAGAACCTTGTCAGAAGAATAAAAGACAAAGTGGTTAAAAATGAACATAAGAGAGTTCTTAGTGGCACTTAATATCAGAGAATGTATTTGGAATTACTCATTGGATACTTTTTTTGTAGTTTTATGCAGACAGTAAGACCAGACAGAAGATGACACCACGAAAAGGAAGGCTTAAGCTTAGATATAAAGATACATGGTGCTTCATTATATTAATCTTCGAAATTTCGTTTATTTTTCCCTTAGGGAATTAAAAAAATTTTTTCCTCAGATTAGTGTTAATATAATACTATATTGAACATTTTTCACTCTGGTCACATTCATAATATTTTCTTGGAATAAATCCCTTCAATAAAATTTGCTGGGTAAAATGATGGACCTTTTAAAAATGTTGGCAGCAAATATAATTGAAAATAATAATGTTTAATAACTTGAAAAATAATAAGTGAAAATGTTGGTTAGCTTCTGGAGTCATTTTATTAACCTAGCATAATTTTAGTACTTTAAAGATTTAACCAAAAAAACCTCGTAAACAAGTTTTCAGTATGACTAGAGATTTATACACATTAAATAAGAATCTAATCAGTAATATACAGAAATGTATCAGAAGGCTGATTATGAACATATCGAAACAAGAAGGGTTTTTTACAGTTTTTAAGAGTGGTTCCATATGAGAAAATGCATTGGTCTTACATAGGTAGCCGACAAAGCAAGATGGAAAAGCTCTCAGTGGACTGCAAAGTGGATTTGAGAAATCATCAATCATTTCTTATTAAAAACAGTTCCCTAGGCAGAAAAATGTCTAGTATATAACCTTAAGTATAGCAGACTGTTGAAGAACAACAAATAGTAAATACCATAAATGTAAGCCCTATGCTTAGTATTAGCTGGGTAAGCCACTGGATTAACGTTAATTTTTATCATTAGTGGAGGTAAATAACAAACAAAACAGGTGAATGAGAACTGGAATGCCTAGAAAAAGAGAAAGCTCTCTGGTAACTTGATTTATAAATTGGGAATACAAAGGAATCTAGTAAAATAACTGAAAAACCAAAACTACAAATAACAATATTTGGTGAGATAACTAAATACAAGGTAAGTACTTCATACAGAACCCATGAGCTGGCTTTGTCATAACAAGCAAGCGAATTCCATTTAAAATAATAGTAGAAATCATAAGTTAGGATTGTTTAACAAGAGAAGCACAGAATTATAAAGAGAATAATTATCTCCTGGAGGCCAACAAAACAGTATCAAAACATTTGGAAGGAATGTCAAAGTCCTTTCTTAGAAACTTATATAAAAATTAGTTTATGATTTTAATGCAGTTTGAATTAGAATACTAATCCATTTTTAGTTGGTTAATATTTTTATAAAATTTAGTTTATTTGAAAAAGAAATACTTGGAATAACCAGGAAAAATATGATAAAATACTATAAGGAAGAATTGTCTTCTTGGGTAGTGAAAGATATTTTATAACCAATATAATAATATCAAGTCCTTGTGCTGTTGTGTAGACCATACAAATTAGTAAGTGGAGCAGTATGGAAAACCAGAATTTAGTCCCAGCATATTGGAAACATTTTATATACTTACTGAAATAACTTGTTCCATCAAGAGGGAGTTTAGGTTGAACCTGTGTTTTCATAAAATATACTGAAATGAATTCCTGTAGATTAAATGTTTGAGTAGTGACTATGGTATTTTTAAAAAATTAATTTTAAAATATTCTAAGATCATCTATGTGCAGTGTAGGGCCAGATAAACCGTCTTACGTAAAACTGGAAAGCTGGAAACTGTAAAAAAATTAAAGATGGGTTTAGTACATGATGGTTGGTGCATTGTGGTAAGTTGCAGCTTGGAATGCCTGCTTGCCTAGAGTGCCTGGCTCAAGGCCCAGCCACTCTGCTTCTGCTGCAGCTTCTTGAGGTGATGGCTCAGGTGGTTGAATCCCTCCGGTAATGAGCTGATGGAATGAATCACAGAGCAGTGCTTAGCCGTTCCACAGTGCTAAGAGTTTCATCAGTTGACTTTGAGGGGTTTCTTCAAGATACTTACATCTAAAAAGCCAGATGCAGAAAAATGTTTGTTTTTTGCGTTTACATTTTTATTCCATTCTTAAAATATATAATGGCCTAAGAAGCCATTTGTATACATGTGTATGGACACACAGACAAGTATTTGTAGAACGTCATGATAGTGAGAAATATTTAGAAGGAAAGACCTGTGCGGCATGATTGGCTTCAGAGGAAGGACAAAGTCTTGGCATAAGTGAGTAAAGCTTAGGAGACTTGCAAAGGAAAGAAAAGGGGGGCATTTTAAAAGAACAAAATACCAAACTAATGTGTTTGTAATTTAAGTACATGTAATTGAACAGATATTTTCTAAAATTTGGAGGTTAATTAAAGAGATCCCTCAATGATGAGTGTATGTATAAGAAACTAGAAGCAGACGCATCCAGAAAGAATAAAGCAGAATAAGGCTTCTCACTGGACTCAAGCCATCTCAGCAGCCGTGTGATTGAACGGTGTTACCAGTTCTTAGTTTTGAGGAAGTGGAACCTGGTTTCAGAAAGAATAAAGATGCTTAAAGATGGCAAAGAAAGAAGTGACCCCAGCTTTGGATTAGAGGATGCATTTTGTTCGTTAAGTAGGCAAAAGTTACAGTGGGAGAAAACTGACCTGCCTTCAGTCACCTAGCTTAATCCTCTACTTGGTTGAATGTATGTTGAAATGTGCCAGTACTTAAATGTGTTTTAAATACTGTTCTTTATCATTGAAGGTATTGATAACAGAACATGGCGACTTGGGGAATGGAAAGTTTTTGGATCCAAAAAACAGAATTTGTTTCAAATTTGATCATTTAAGAAAGGAAGCAACTGATCCAAGACCTTATGAAGCAGAAAATGCAGTTGAATCTTGGAGAAGTTCAGTAGAAACTGCTCTTCGTGCTTATGTCAAGGAACATTATCCAAATGGGGTCTGCACTGTAAGTCATCACTGGGCGACTTTTATTTTATTTCTTAGACTTAGGTTCCAAAATTTACAATAACTTACAGAACTGACATTTTGTAGCTTGTTTTTTTTTTTTTTCTTTTGACTTGCATAGGATTGCCTAACACTGGTGGCTTGTGTTCCAATGATCTCCCCCATAGCCGGAGTTGTCTTTTGAAATGCAAATAAGATCAGGAAAATCCCCTGCTTGAAATATTCCCTTTGTACTTAGGATATAGCCAGCTTTTGAACTTGGCTTACAAGGCCCTTTGTAGCCTTGGCCTGTGCTCAGTGACCTGTCCCAGTATGTTCCTGCCTTGCAGTGTAACTGCCAAGGTTACCGCTAATAATTCCAGGGATTTATTATTATTATTATTATTGTGTCAGACAAATATTCATGTGATCTGCTAAAAATTCAATAATTAAGAAATATGGCAACATAACCTAAAATACATTACAGATTGTTTGAATTCTAGCTAGTTGCTTAGAATTATTTTCAGAGATTAATTATAGCTGATTTTTAATGACTTTCTTCAGGTTATGAGTAAATCATAATTCTTACTCTAGTATATTTAAGAGTGAGTGGAGGGGCAGGCATGAGGTGCAGTGGTTAAGGTATGGCCAGCTGGCTTTGACCTTGTCTGACCTTTGCACCCACATGGGAGACTGGACCAAGGCTGGGCTTTTGGGCTTCTGCCTAGCATAGCCTTTGGTATTGGGGATGTTTGGAAGTGAACCATTGGATGGAAACACTTACTCTCTTGCTCTTGGTCACTGTCTCTGTGTCTGTCAACTCTCAAATAAAATTGATTTTTCTAAGAAGACTACAGAAGCAGCGGCCTTTACGGTTGTGAAGTATACAAAAATAATCACAGTTGTGCTGTTGTTTTTATTTGAATAGATGATTAAGTCAATATCTGTTTAAAATGGATTGTCTACTTTCTCTTGAAGTTTGTGATTGGAATGAAAGCGTGAAATATCTAGGATACTTATGAATATTTATAGTACATGTAATTTTACTCAATAAATTACACTTTATTAGGTGGAAATTTTTTGCTGTTAGTGAACATATTTGATAACTTTTCTATATAGTTATGGTATGGACAAAGGACTTGTTTTGTGTGGTTTTTTGTATTTCTGTCAACATGGTTAATATTTCATGATCTTAAAGATGTTTGAAATTGGACATTCTGCACTACTCAGTTTACGCTTGTTCTTGTTTTCTTTGCCAATAAGGTATATGGTAAGAAGATAGATGGACAACAAACCATTATTGCATGCATAGAAAGCCATCAGTTCCAAGCAAAGAACTTCTGGTAAGTTAGCATTTTGTGTAATGAGGAATTTTGATACTCTTTTTTTTTTTAAGATTTATTTATTTTTATTGGAAAGGCAGATATATAGAGAGGAGGAAAGACAGAGAGAAATATCTTCGGTCCGATGGTTTACTCCCCAAGTGGCCACAATGGCTAGAGCTGAGCCAATCCAAAGCCAGGAGCCTCTTCTGGGTCTCCCACACGGGTACAGGGTCCCAAAACTTTGGGCCATCCTCAACTACATTCCCAGGCTACAGACAGGGAGCTGAATGGGAAGCGATGCCACTGGGATTAAAACCGGCACCCTTATGGGATTCTGGTGCATTCAAGGTGAGGACTTTAACCAGTACAATATAACCCTGGGCCTGAATTTTGATACTCTTAATGTATTTTGTAGTTCTGTTAGTGATGAGAACTAGTCCTTACTTGCATTTGATTGACAAAGAACAACCTAAACATGTTATACAACTTCAGACTTTTGATTTAAGAAAAGAATTTTTCCCCTACCAGGCTAAAAAAGGTATGAGCAAGCTTAGTGTCTCAGACAGGCGTTGGCGTCTGCGTGGAGCGTGGGCACCTGCAGGGAGTGTGGGCACCTCAGACGGGCGTTGGTGTCTGCGGGGAGCGTGGGCACCTCAGATGGGCATTGGCATCTGCAGGGAGTGTGGGCACCTGCACTCAAGTGAGTTGGAAGGCCCACTCCAACACCGCCTGAGCAGGGCTGTTCCTCAATGTACTTTCCATAGGAACAGGGAACAGAGGTGATGACAAAATGACCTGTGAGCATGGGGACACAAATTGATGTTCTTATAAGGATTGCTTTGTGCATCTAGATTTTGTGTATAAATCATTCGATATTCCTTTAAAAATATGGCTCCCAGAAGTACTTACTTGACCTGTTTTTCTTTAAATATTGCCAAATTGTTGGTCTTACTGTCCAAGGACAGGATTTCTGAGATACTGAATTATATAATTCTCAGGATTTTTCAAAATTTTATAAGTTTAGAGTTGAGTGCTTCATGATCGATCCCCCCCATCTACCCAAACCTTTTGTTTGTTTAATACATGCTAAGATTCTAAAGTATATTAGTCTAAGTTATCTTTAGCCAAGTTATTCAGTGTTACCACTGAGGGTAAAGTAACAGGTGTCAGTAATCCCGTGTGAACTTTGGGCTCCTGGTTCAGTGTCCCGCTGTTTAACTGTCTCAGAAGTGAATGTAGAATCAAGAGGTTAACCGGGAGTGGAGGGATTTCTCGTCACTGGTGGAGAATCGGTTGCATGTGAACACACACCTGAAGGAGGGTAGTACTTTGCCGTAGAATGTGGGGTACACAAGTTACTTTACGTTTTACTTTAAGATGTAATGGAGACATTACAGTGAATTTACTAGTTAGTTTTAGAAAATGAGATTCATAAGGTGCAGCACGGTAGCCTGGTGGTTAAAAACCTTTCCTTGCACATGGTGGGATCCCATAGGATTTGTGTCCCGGCTCCTCCACTTCCCTTCCAGCTCCCTGCCTGTGGCCTGGGAGAGCAGTCAAGGATGGCCCAAAGCCTTGGGATCCTGCACTGACGTGGGAGAACCAGAAGAAGCTCCTGGCTTCAGATTGTGGCCACTTGGGGATTGAACCAGCAAATGGAAGGTCTTTCTCTCTGTCTCTCCTACTTTGAGTAAATCTGACTTTTCAATAAAAAAAATCTTTGGAAAAAAGTGATTAATTTGACTTTTAGAGTAGATAAAAGGAGGAAAACATCCTTGCATTTTCTTCATTGCTTTTCATATTTGTAATATTTTTCTAAGCCACTATTATGACCATTACATTATTGAACTTAAAAATTATTTTTACTTTTGGGCCTGGCGCAGTAGCCTAGTGGCTAAAGTCCTTGCCTTGCATGTGTTAGGATCCCATTTGGCTGTCGATTCTGGTCCTGGCAGCCCCACTTCCCATCCAGCTCCCTGCTTGTGGCCTGGGAAAGCAGTCAAGGATGGCCCAAAGCCTTGGGACCCAGCACCCTTGTGGAAGACCTGGAGGAAGTTCCTGGCTCTTGGTTTCAGATTGACACAGCTCCAGCCATTGCAGCTACTTGGGGAGTGAATCAGTGGACGGAAGATCTTCCTCTCTGTTTCTCCTTCTCTCTGTATATCTGCCTTTCCAATAAAAATTTTTAAACTATTTTTACTTTCTAGGAATGATAAATTTATCTTTAATTTCTGTTTTTCATGACTATTTTGATATAATTGATACGCTTCTGGATATCAGTTATATCCAGAATATATATAAATGTACCTAAAATATAATATAAGTCAGTAGACATGTTTGTCATGAATATTGCTTGCATTTCAGTAAAGAAATTGTTTCCTCAATGTATAGGAACTTAATACTTGTTGATTATATGTAATTACAGTTAATTTTAAAATTGCAAAGAAGTAAAATTATAAGAAAACATTTTGACTATTTTCTCCATTGATGAAAGGATTTTTTAATTTAGTGTTTTAGTGGTACAATGGTAATGCCTTTGGAAGAATCTTTTTTTTTTAGGTTTATTTTTATTGGAAAGGCACATTTACAGAGAGGAGAGACAGAGAGATGTGCCTTCAGCAGCTGACTGCAGTAACTGGAGCTGAGCTGAAGCCGCGAGCCATGCCACTTCCGGTCCCTGACATGGGTGCAGAATCCCAAGCTTTGGCACCATTCTCCACTGCTTTCCCAGGACACAAGCAGCATGTTAGATTGGAAGTGGAATAGCCAGGACACAAACTGCTCCCATATAGGATGCTGGCACTTGCAGAGGGAGGATTAACCATTGGAGCCATCGCACCGGCCAATGGAAGAAATCTTTTGAAATAGTTCCCAAATTAGTACTGGAAATAGTTCTGCAATTAGTACTATTACTTGGTTTGAAATTGCTTTTTTTTCCCTTACAAAATCAATGTTGAGATAGTCATAGTAATAAACAATACATACTTAAAACTCACTAGTTGTTTCATGTTAATAACTAAGTAAGAGGAATATAGATATAATAAAATAAATATAGATCCTATTGTCAGCTGCTTTAGATAATCTTGTATGAGTTGCTGAAAAGACATTGTAAAATTTGTTTAACCTATATATTATTCTAATAATAGTTTTTACATGCTTAATATTAACGTTTAAGTACAAGATGTTATCATCCTGCAGACTTTTATGATTGAGAAAACTGTAAGAATGTTGAAAGAAAATCAGAAATAATTTTATAGCCAAAACCGTTATGGTGCTCCATTAACGCTGTGACTATCATATAAATATATTCTGTTTAGAAAGAAGCAAACCGGTGCGAATTTATATTATCAGGTTAATGGTTTTGAATGTACAATGAGCAAATAGAGGTAAGAATTTATTATTGAAGATATAAAAAATAGGATTAAATTTTGGGTTAATGCAGTGGCTCATCAAGCTAATCCACTGCCTGCTGGCACCAGCATCCCATGTGGGTGCCAGTTTGTGTCTTGGCTGGTCCACTTCCGACCCAGCTTTCTGCTCACGGCCTAGAGAAGCAGCAAAGAATGGCTCAAATCATGGGCCCCTGCGCTCAGGTGGGAGACCCAGCGGAGGCTACTGACTCGCCTTCGGGTCAGCTCAGCTCTGGCTATTGTGGCTGTTTTGGGGAATAAACCAGTGGATGGAAAGACATCTCTTGGGTCCCTCTCTCCTCTCTCTGTAAAAATCTTCCTTTAAACTAGAAATAAACATAAATCTTAATAAAAACTAGGGTAAGATTCACTGGCAGAAAAGTGAGTGTTTAGGTTTCCTACGATGAGTGTGTATTGATTAGTATGTAGAAGTCATTTCAGGAGTGGGGTGGAAGTGTATGCCTTTGTGTAAAAACATTAAACCTGAAATTGGAAAAGGGAAAAGTAATCTCATGTTTTCATCTCTAACCCTTTATTTCCAGATGGCAAAACCTACTTAAAAGGATTGTATAGTATTCACTAGCCATTATTTTTAATTATTTGGTACTTTCTGTCATTCAGCAAATGTTAAATAGCTATATGAAGGGTTCTGATAATCTGAATGTCTATTCAATTTGTTCTTGCAGTGATTCAGTTAAAATAGCTGGAGCTTTTTCTCCAGGAAGTTTATTATATTTTTATATTTTTATTTTATATATATTATATGTCAGTATATTTTTGTTTTATATGTAAATATATACATATTATTGTAAAACATAACTTTAGGATTTTAAAATTAGCATCATTACATAGGTCCTGTCAGTAGGGTAAATGGTAAGTCTTTCAGCTGAAATTAACCATTTGTTCTTTTTGAGTATTTCAGTGGTTAAAAAATGTCCAGCAAACATGCCCCACATTCTCTCATGCTGTGAGAATTAGCATTAGATCTAAGACTTGATCATTGGTACAGATTATTTTCCCTACCTTGTATACAGCCACTGTTTTTGTTTTTAAGGAATGGGCGTTGGAGATCAGAGTGGAAGTTTACACTCACACCTTCAGTCACTCAAGTGGTCGGCATCTTGAAAATTCAGGTATGAAATTAAAAGAATTTGCTGTTAGTTTATTCTGATGATAGAAGTAATTTATCAGTTTATATTTTTTTTTTTGGTGTAACATAACATTTCTTTTACAGATTCTCATTTTGAGGTACTGGGATAAATTAATAGTGTTGTTAAATCTTTTCAGTAACAAAGTTTGTTCCCAAGTTACCAAAAATCAGATGAATCTCACACTGCTCCGTCATTTGATTCCAGTATACTTCTCTAGTCTCATATCCTTTTTATTTTATTTTAGTTATTTTGTTTAGTTTTTCATGATTTGGCTCAATAGGCACAGGAATTCCCCCCGCCCCCCATGTCTTGTACCCCTTTATTTCTGTCTCAGAGACTACAGAGTAGTGCAAGTATGGATTTTGAAACTAAATCCCCGAGTTTCAATCCCAGCTCTGTCATTTACTAGTTGAGTGACACCAGGAAATCATTTAAACTTTTTGTTTGTTTCCTCATTTACTAAACAACAACAGGAAAGGTCCTATGATTGTGCGAAAGTTAGTTAATATGGATAAAATATTATGAGAAGCAAAACTGGTTATCTGGTTCACAGTTACTTCTTCAGTAGTTAGCCTAATGCCAAGCGTATAATTTTTTTTTAGATTGTTGATCTTTTCATTAACCTAATGCATGTTTTACGTTGCCATCAGAGTGATTGTTTTTTTAAAACAAACGTTTCTTGCTTGCTTAGGACCGTGTATTGGCCTTCTCACTGCCACATGGTCCAGATGTGTTTGCATGAACGTACTTGATGTGTCCACTGCCATATGTTTATGCTCTGCCCTCTCACATACATTACAGTTCTTTCTCAAATACTGTTGTCTAACCTTAATTGGTCTCTATTCCTTGGTTTAATTGCTATGATTAGTTTGCTCTGCTCATGTCAAATGTTGCCTCTTTGAGTTCTTCTTTTTAACCTTTAGAGAAAGTCAGATTTACTGTTGCTAATGTGCTTTATGCCTACTTTATCGTATTGCATTGAAATAGAGGGTCCAGGACAGTGTATTTCAAAAACCAGATATGGTTATACCCGTTTGTACTGTCTGGTAGCAAGAATGGAAGGTAATGAATTAATACTTGTTGAATCAGTTCATGTATGTGGATTTCTGGAGGTAAATGTGTGGTAGGAATACATCAGAAGGGAGCAGTGTTGATAAGAAATACTTTGAGCTCAGCGTTGGATATCTGTAGTTTAGGTACCAACAGGATGACTATGAGGTCAAAGTATTCAGCAGGCTGGCCAGTGGTGGACCTGCTTGAATCATCTTAGTAGAATTCTCCCTAGACCGGATACAGGAAGAGTGTTGACAGAGTATGCAAGGACTGCTGCTCAGCAGAGTTCTAGGCTACAGTAGAAACTGGTGGTTATCTGCTTGATGTAATTGCCTAAGCTGTGAGATTTCATGATTGCTGTAATGTAGTACCTGTCATTCCTTTTTCTGTAGGTTCATTATTATGAAGACGGTAATGTTCAGCTAGTGAGTCATAAAGATATACAAGATTCCCTAACAGTGTCTGTAAGTAATTAATTCCATGATAAAATTTAAGCAACCTGGCAGATGGAAACCAGGGTCTTCTTGCCTGTGAGGATGTGTGCTGGAAGGCATGTTCATTGTTACAGTTCACTATTAAATTTTAACATTTCATAAATCATACATATGTTCAGAAGTAATGAAAATTTAATTTTAAGTTATGTTATTTGCTTTTTTGTTAGAATGAGGCACAAACAGCAAAAGAATTTATAAAGATTGTAGAAGCCGCAGAAAATGAGTATCAGGTATGATTTTCATTAGCACTATGTAACCTCTGTTCACTTAGGAATTAATGGCACAAAGTGTGTTTGTGTTAAATACAAGGACAGACTTATGGAAGTAGTCACAAGTACCAGCAAATAAATTGAATTCTTAGTTTTAAACATATTAAAACTTGATTTTCACCAACTATTAATTGTGACTATTGACCAGAGTACTCCAGAATTTCAAATGACTGGTTTTTTTTTTCTAGTTAGAAATGTGAATTGAGGAAATGTTTCCTAAATCTTCTAGATTTTATATAATCTGCCTACATCCAACCTCATTTTGTGGTCTGATTTTTTTCCCCCTACATTACTAGCATGTAAACACCTCTTGAATTTAAGTGTTTGAATTGGATGAATTTCCCTTTAAGCTATATAATTTGTTCTGATTTAAACAGTGAAATTGATTTAAAATAAAGATATTTAATTTAGTTTTACTAAATATGATTTTTCAAGCTATGAATTTTTCATTGCTTTTAATTAGGTTCTTAAGATCTTATTTTAGAAGATCATGTTAAGGCTTCTGTTTGACATGCAAGAACAGTGAGACAGGCTACTTGTGATGTTAGAACATTTCTGTGTCTTACACGGTCTGTAACTGTCGTTTCCCGTAGACCGCCATCAGCGAGAATTACCAGACGATGTCGGACACTACTTTCAAAGCCTTACGCCGACAGCTGCCAGTTACACGCACCAAGATCGACTGGAATAAGATCCTTAGCTACAAGATTGGCAAAGAGATGCAGAACGCGTAGATGAACATTGCATGACCGAATCATTTTAGTGTCTTTGCGTTTAAAAATTTTAAAAAGTTGTTGCAAAAGTATTCAGAACTGTCAAGCTGCCCAGTCAGATGGGCTGTTGCCATTTAAAATCACTGTAATTAATTAGTTTGGTTAGAGCACAAAGCTTAGCTAATCTACCATTATTTTCCATTTCTTTTGTTCAGAGAGGATTGAAGATGGGTTTAGTTTACTTTTTGTTATGTCTTTACTTTCTCTTAAGCCTTTCTTAAAATGAAGAGAGGATTCCTCTAGTTTATGATTAAAAGGGTAAAAATATCTTACCCTTACACTAAATTGCTGTCTTTGGTTTAGGAAATGGGCAATTTTTGATATTTGCCCAGTTATTTTTAAATGGGGTCATTCATAGAAATTCTGGTTTAAGGTGGTTAATGGATTTAGCCATACGTGCTGCTAAAGAAGTTGTCTGCCTTTCCTCTCACTTCTTCCATTTCTGTAAGAGTAAGATTAGAAAGAAAGTGTTTTCTGTATCCATGTGTTTAAGCCTTTCAGGATCATTAGCTAGCTTAGTGTTTAACTGAACCTTTTTTAAACAAAGCCAAGGTCTAATGCTGTTTTGAGATTCTAAAACTAAATGGAAATACTTATTTCAGAAATGCATTTAATGCTTTTTTTCTTGTGACAGTTATGCAAATTAGCTTGACTTCCATATGTCCCTGAGTTATTTTTATCATAAAGCCACAAATGTATTATAACAAGGCAAATTGTAATATATATAATCCTGAACTCATGACCTTGTCTCAGTTTTTTTTCTTGAATTGAGAAGTGCTGGAATTCAATGTAACATTATGAAATGCAAATTTTCCTATTTATTGAGTAGAAAAATCACTTACCAGTGAGTCATATACTATTTTAAAATGCATTCTTTGGATATTGTAATTCTTAACTGGCTGTAAATTGGAAAAGCTGGGATTACATATGGTGTACCGTTACAGTCTAAATTTTTTCATCTTCCTATGCATCATAAGCATGTTTGTAATATTTTACAGAATAGATTTCCTGAAGTTCCAGGAATTTCAAGCCTGTGGTGAATGTTAGTATTTACTATGGGAAGTGGGGTGGACTGATGGTTTCATTCAGTAGAGTATTGCTAATTATGCTTGAGTGGAATCCATTCCTCACGTATTCCTGCAGATGTCTGGGCCTGGAAATGTTTTTTAAAAAAACAAAAAAACAAAAAACACCACTTTTATTATGTACAATAAAATATTTCATTAGCTTGAATTGTATACATTTTTAAAAATTCAGTGAAGGCATGTTTTAATGTCTTTTTAAAATCGTTGGGCTTGGGAAGCATTGAGAAAAATAATATGAAATTATGACATTTTAGTTAAAGAATTTTCCTTTTAGTTTAAAATACAAGTTTGGGCATGTTGAGATTCCCAAAGAAAATGAATTGGTAATATTAATTGTCTGCTCCCATTTTTTAAGACATACTCCAAAATGCGATGGTTAATGTGAGTTGAGAATGTGGCTGATTAGCCTGGTTACATCCATTCAGCGCGCCTGGAATTCTGCGAGGTTAATTACTTCGGCTGTGTTTTATAGCCTAGAGTGCCTGTGTACAACCCAGCTTTACAGTGATTTACATGTGAAAGGGAGAATTATGAAAAGTAATTCAGAGCACAGCCTGAAATGATGTTTGCGCAATGCTCTAGTCTGTTAGAATGAATAGCATTTTATGAAAGTAAAATAGACTGGAGACCAGGCTTGTCATGGTGCTTAGAACATAGTTTTCATAGGAACTATAATGGCTGCTGTGTGTGCTGACGCACAGAAGCAGGAACAGTGTAGGGGACAGGTGGGCTGTGCCACAACGCAGCTGAGAGAGAATGCTGGGCTGCGTGGGATTGGTGGCTGGAGAGGTGGGAAGCACTGGGACTTGTTCAAAGTCTGATTTTTGAACATGAAATAAACTTAAATTTCGCAGGGTACGGAGATAGTTTCTGGGATGAAAAGCTCGGTTTTAGATTTCATGGGGATGTATGCAGGAGTTGAATACAGAAAGCAGCAGCTGGGAGAATAAGACCCTAGACCTGGAAAATAGTGTGATGGCTAGACACTGTGCAGGTCTCCCTGCGGCTAGTGATGGTGAATTAAAGGGGAAGCCAGTTTTTCTTCAGAAAGCTGTGTGGTGTAGCCACTTGGTGCGTGAATGGAGCTTCCCCCATGTTGTGGTTTTGCCATGAATGTGGAACCACATGAAGCAAGGCAAGGGTCATGATGGTCTCTGGTACGCAGGGAAGTGAGGACTTGAAAGAGGCAACAGCCATAGAGAGGATTTGCCGTATTTCATAGGTTATAGATGCGTTTCAATTGAACAGAGCTAGAAGGAATGACCCGTAAATGTCAGAAATGGTGATGGTTGTATGCTTGAAATTGAGATTTTGAGAGTTACAGTTGTTAGTGATGACAAGTGTGATCGGAGCAAGGAGAGGAGTGCAGGCAGTGCTGCGGCCCAGGCCAGGAGCAGCAGCGCAGGAAGCGACAAGCCTTGAGCCAAGCAGGGCTTTGCACTTCCTGAGAAGCTGTTTCTGCCCCATTTCTGATATGGAGGTCAGTCGCGGAGTAGATGCTTAAGAGGGTTTCCTCATTCAGAATTCTGGAAACTAAAATGGGAGCGTGGGGGGAAAGGGAAGGTGTCCTGGAAGTTTGTTTCATTACAGATGCTCCTCAAAGCCGAAATGCTCAGGAAAGTGTTGAGAGCAACTTGAGTAATGGGATGGTGTTCCCGTGGTCCTGTCTGGTTGCAAAGCCGCCGCCTTGAGGACCAGTAAACTCATCACAGGGCTGTCATAGTATTCTCTTGTCTGGCATCAGCAGGTGTAAAAAATGGTAAACTGGATGTGGCTGCTTGCCAGCTGCCATAAGGCTTGAGGGACCAGTGCCTTGACGTACCTCGAATCCGTTAAGGGGAGATGTGCCATGGGTAATCATGTAAAATAACTATCTATATTATAATTAAAATTGTTTATAAGAAGAACTTTAAGCCTTACTTATGTCTGAGGAAGCTTTAAAAAAGATACCATGCCATGAAAGAATTTCTGGAAAGGGTGAGTTTTAAACAATCTTGCCACACTGTTTTGCAGGAAGCGATGCAGTTTTTTGGTAAGTATCCTTAGAACTGGTAGCATCAATATATGGATAACAGATTTCTAATACAGAAATATCATGGGTCAGGATGCTGCCCAAAACAAAATGAAATCTGGATTCCTTCTTGATATGAGCCATAAATCCTATGCCAAAAGTGGACTTAAGAACATGTAAAGTTAGGGCCCAGTGCAGTAGCCTAGTGGTTAAAGTCCTTGCACACTTGGGATCCCATTTGGGTGCTGGTTCTAGTACTGGCAGCTCTGCTTCCCATCCAGCTCCCTGCTTGTGGCCTGGGGATGCAGTTGAGGACGGCCCAAAGCTTTGTACCTGCGAGGGAGACCTGGAAGAAGCTCCTGGCTCCTGGCTTCGGATTGGCACAGCACCAGCTGTTGCGGTCACTTAGGGAGTGAATCATTTGATGAAAGATCTTCCTCTCTGTCTCTCCTCCTCTGTATATTTGACTTTGCAATAAAAATAAAATAAATTTTTAAAAAATATGTAGAGTTAGAAAAGACAGCATGGCTAATTAGTAAAACATTAAAATATTTTTCTCTCTAGTTTTGGTATAATCTAACAAAAGTGTGCTAATTTAATGTCCTTTTTTTTTTAAAGATTTTTAAATTTTTTTTCCCTTGGAAAGGCAAATTTCTGGAGAGAAGGAGACACAGAACGGTACTCCATCTGCTGGTTCACTCCCCAAGTGGCCACGACGGCCGGAGCTGAGCTAATGTGAAGCCAGGAGCTTCTTCCAGGTCTCCCCCGTGGGAGCAGGGTCCCAAGGCTTTGAGCCGTCTTCCTCTGCTCTCCCAGGTCACAAGCAGGGAGCTGGATGGGAAGTGGAGCTGCCAGGAGACAAGTCGGTGCCTGTGTGGGATCCTGGTACGTTTAAAACTAGGGTTTAGCCACTGAGCCCTTGCGCTGGGCCCGTCCCTCCATCATCTGCAGTGTAACTGCCAGAAAACTAGTGTTTCTCTGTGTAAACTGACTAGAAAACACATGTGTCATATGCCAAGTCAGCCAGCCATTCTAATAACATAAATCTTGACTCATTAGTTCCTGGACTACATGAGGTCAGAACAGTCTGATTTGTGGCAGACTGCTAAGGAAATAAAATTGGTATGTTTTACAAGGTTGATGACTTCTGGGGAAATTTTGCAGACTTCTAATCTTTTAAGCCAAGCAGTTTCCAGAGTTCCCTTACTGCAAGGATAACCCTGAAAATCTTGGTAACTAAACAGTGAAAATTGTTACTTTCCTCTTGGGCTTCCTGATTTTTGCAGCTAACTTCTAATCCTTGCAGTCTGAACACTCATGGGAAACTCTTCCATCCCAGACTGAAGTGAGGGCTTTCGTCTTGATTTCCAAAAAAGTACAAAGGAGCAGTACCCAGGAGCTAGAGCTAAGGTAAACATCCAGCACGTGTTTGGACTTTAGTCCTGTGCACAGTCAGTACATGATCAGTATCTCAAGCAAAGACAAGTCAGGCGTTTGGCCTGGCTGTCAAGTTGGTGCTGCATCCCATTTCGGGGTGCCTGGATTCAAGCCTCAGCTCCTCTCTACGTTTTTCTTAAATGTTATTTATTCTACTTGGATATCAGGTTACAGAGAGAGTGGGGCGAGGCCGACAGGGCTTCCATGTGCTGGCTCACTCCCCAAATGGCCGCCACAGCCAGAGCTGGTCCATTCCAAAGCCGAGAGCCAGCAGCTTCTTTCAAGTGTCCCCCGTGGTAGGAGGGGCGCAAGGACGTGGGCCATCCTTCACTGCTCTTCCAGGCCATTGGCAGGAAGCTGGGTCTGAAGCGGAGCTGCCGGGACTGGCACCTGTGTTGGATGCTGGCACCACAGGTGAAGGAGTAACCTGATTTGCAACCATTAATCTTCTGCTTTGATCCCAGCTTCTGCTAAGTGCGCCCTGTGAGTGGGAGTGATGGCTCTGCCGGTTGGGGCCTTCCAGCACCCACACCTGGATGGGGTTCCCAGCTCCTGACTGGCCCCACTCCCGCCCTGGGTGTTGGCAGACGTTTGGGGAGTGAGCGGACAGGACTCTGCCACAGCCCTCTTCCCACCCTCTGCTCTCCTGCTGTCTGTTGTCTACTTCTCAACTGGATTTTAAAGTTCTTCCTACGTGCACTTTTTTTTTTCTTAGCTTTCGGACTTTACGGAGGAGAAAGTAAAATATAAATGGAAATAAATTCCATTCAGAGATTAGAGTTGACAAAAACCTTATAGCAGGCTCAATATTCAACAACGAAGAATGAGTGCAGATAACAGACCTAACACTGGGGCGACCCAACCTCTAGGAGTCAGAGTCATGTGCTAGCATGCCGCAGACAGGTTGAGAGGAAAGCGGCTTAAACTTGAAGAAAGAGTTTCTTAGGATATTGTAGGTTCAAAAATCTGTAGAATACATGTTATGCATGGGAGATACATAAAACATGCAGTGTGATAAAAACAGGATGTGTGTGTGTAAGGGAATGTATGAATAAAATGAAGGAACAGTACAGTGGGATTTCACTATAAAAATTTCATTCTTACGCTCATTGATAAGTGTGAAGGTGTTACTGCAGTCTAAGTGTCTTTAAATATCTTGCACTGACACTTTTGGAATGGTGCGTGAAAGGGAAAAAATGTAACAAC